TCCCCCTTCAACCGCCTTCTCTTCCCTTGTTTTAAGGGCTGCACTAAATGCACGTGACAGGTAAGGAAGATATGCCCCAAAGGGGGCACGATCGAAGACGACGAGGGCGGGCACCGAGGGTTTGGAATATATACGTATGGATTGGCACGGGAGCAGATAGGAGCGAACAGTCTTAAACTGAGTGTTGTTGTCGTCGTTGAACGACCATTCTTGAACAGGTCATTATTGTTGATCACCCCACAGGTGCGCATTGCATGTTTCGATTGAAGTGTCCCCCTCGGGGCTCCCACCCTGTTTTTTTACAAGGGGGAGTCTTTATGCTCAAACTGTGCCCCTGGCCCCCCGGCTGCAACAACAACGGCTCCGGGCGGATATTTCCTCACAAGTTATTCTAAAATCGCCGTTCTAGCGCGGGATTTCCTCACTACGTATGCAGGAGTCGCGCTCTCGCGTAGGACTTCCTCGCAATCTACTTGTACACCACGCCCTGGACACGCAGGAATCACACTCTCGCTTTAGCTTCTCCGATGATTTGCTCGGGACTCGCGCCGTCGCTCCAGAATTCCACGCGATTCATGCTAGAGCCACGCTCCAGCAACCCGCCTGCTCGACCTGACTGCGTGGGCCCGCCTTCCCGACCCGCATGCCAGAGTCTGCCCGCCCGATCTGTCCGTGTGGTTATACCACGCGTAACTTGTTTGTTTCTCTCGTGCTCTATCATTTTCCCTCCCCCTTCCATCCGTCCTCTCTTCCCCTGTTTTGGGGGCTGTACTACATGCGCGCGGCAGGTAAGGAAGATATGCACCCAAAAGGGTAGTATCCAAGAGACACTGGGCGGGTGCCGAGGGTTTGGGAGATACGCGTTGAATGGCACGCGAGCAAATAAGAGCGAACAGTCTCAACATGATTGTTGTAATTGTTGTGGTTGGTATTGTTGTTGTGGTTGTGGTTATTGTTGATGATGTTGAGGGTGATGATGATGATGTTTTCCTCCTTCGTTATTAAAGAATGACTATTGTTGATATCCCTCCTCCGGCGCACACTGTATTTTGTTGATTGAAGTGCCTTTCCCAGGGCGAATCGTGCAGGACTCACGCATTCGCGACCCGCCCGCTCGGCCGGCCCGTCAGAGTCAGCCCGCCTGACCTTCCCTGTCAGGCCCGCGGTCGCCCCTCGTTGCATCTCGCCCGTTCCGATGCCATTCGCTGCCCCTCGCGACACCGCACTCGGATTTGAAGGCCCCGTCGCTGCCTTCGTAGCCTCCGCGATGCCTTTCGTGGCCCGCTATCTGAACCCATCGATGCCGTTCGTGGCCCCGCGGGCGCCTTTGTAGCCCCCTCGCTGACCTTCGTAGCCCGATGTAACTCGTCGTGGCCCGCTCGCTGCCCTTCCTTGCCCATTTGCAGCCCTCAGTGGCCCCCTTTTGTGTAAGGCTGCGTCAATTACATGTGACAAAGGGAGAAGCATATACCCCTAATTGGGTCACGATCGAACACGAAGAGGGCGGATATTCAGGGTTTGTGAAGCACATGGTGATTGACACGCACGCGTACGAGAGAGAAAAAGTTCAAATCGATAGTTGTTGTTATTGTTGTTGGTGGTGATGTTGGTGTTGGCGTTGGCGTTGCTGTTGCTCATGTTGTGAATAGTGTTGTTGGTGGTATTGGTGTTGGTGTTCTTGCTGTTGTTGTTACTGTTGCTGCTGTTTTTGGTGGCGTTTTTTGTTGTTCTTTGTGTTGTTGGTGGTGGTGTTGGTGGTGGTGTTGTTGTTATGGTGGTGGTTGTTGCTAGTGTTGTTGTTGCTGTTGTTGGTGTTGTTGTTGTTGGTTGTTGTTGTTGATGTTGATGGTGATGTTGCTGTTGCTATGGTGTTGTTGAAGAGTTCTCACGTCTCAAGAATATGCGATGGTGCTTCCCCCTGGTAGGTAATTGTCGTATCTTTGAGGTAACGTGCTTCTCCCGGGGCTCGCACCCTGTGTTTCACCGGGGAAGCGAGTGTCAGCAACCTGCGCCCTTGGCCCCCCGTTTACAACAGCAACGATGGATTCCCAAATCGCGCTCTCGCGCGGGACTTCCTTACACTGTATGCAGCAATCGCGTTCTCACGTGGGAGTTCTTCGCAATGTATTAACACGCTGCGCTCTCGACGCTCCAGAATCACGCTCTCGCTGTGGATATCCGTGCGATTTATTTGGGAATCGTGCTATCGCTCGAGACTTCCTCGCCACTCATGCGGGACGCACGCTTCAGCAACCCGCTTTTCCGACTTGGCCGCCAGGGCCCGCCTTCCCGACCCGCCCGTTGGGGTTGCGAGCCCGATCTGCCCGTCTGGTTCTGCCACGTGTTTTCTGCTCCCAGCCGCCCGTCTTGGTACTCTCTCTCTATTGCTCCATTCCCTTCGCCTGCCTTAGGGGCTGCGCGAAGTACACGCTGCAGTTAAGAACGATACACCCCTGACGGAGGGTACGATCGAAAACGAAGATGGCGGGTATCGAGGGTTTCAGATATACGTGTTGAATGGCACGCGAGCAGGAAAAGCGAACATGGTTTAAACTTATGTTTGTTGTTGTTGATGTTGTGTGTGGTGTTGCTGTTGGTGGTGGCAGTGTTGATGCCATTGTTGTTGGTGTTGTTGTTGGTGGTGGTGGTGATGGTGTTCGCGCTGTTGTTGTTGTTGCTGCTGCTGTTGTTGTTGAGCCCTCACTATTGAAGAATGGATCATTGTTGGTCCCCCCTCCAGCGACCAGTGCTTTTTTCAATTGAAGTGTTTCCCCCGTGTCTCATATTCTTATTTTGTATCATGGAACGTCTCTCGGCTCAAACTGGCTTCTTGGCCCCCGGATTACAACAACGAGTTAACCACAACTTAGCCACGGTTCTCGCTTGAGACTTCCACGATTTAGCCAGGACCCCCGTTACCGCCTGAGACTTCTTCGCATCTTACTGAGGAGTCGCGCTCTCGCTTGGGACGTCCTTACAATTTATTCAGGAATCGCTCTCTCGGCTATCTGGAGTCGCGCTCTCGCTGGAGAATTGTTTGCAATTTACTCCAGAATCGCGTTCTTGCGATGGAAGTCCCCACAACTTACTCAACCGCCGCGCTCCCGACATTCAGGCAACCAGGAGTCGCGCACACGCTCAGGACTCCCTCACAGCTGACTTAGGAATCGGGATATCGCTGCCCTTCGTGGCCCCGTTGCAGTCCTTCGTGGCCCCCTCGCTGCCCTTCGTGGACCCGTTGCAGTCCTTCGTGGCCCCCTCGCTGCCATTGGTGGCCCCGTTGCAGCCCTTCGTGGCCCCCTCGCTGCCCTTCGTGGACCCGTTGCAGTCCTTCGTGGCCCCCTCGCTGCCATTGGTGGCCCTGTTGCAGCCCTTCGTGGCCCCCTCGCTGCCCTTCGTGGACCCGTTGCAGCCCTTCGTGGCCCCCTCGCTGCCCTTCGTGGACCCGTTGCAGCCCTTCGTGGCCCCGTCGCTGCCCTTCGTGGCCCTGTTGCAGCCCTTTGTGGCCCCCTCGCTGCCCTTCGTGGCCCCGTTGCTGCCCTCGGTGGCCCCGTCCTTGCCATCGACGTGTATGCCCTTCATGGCCCCCGCTCGTTCGCGCCCGTCGTGGCCCCAGATGCATTTCCTTCGTGGCCCCGCTGACGCCCTTTGTGGCCCCCTCGCTGTTCTCCGTGGCCCCGTTGCTGCTCTCAGCGGCCCCGTCGTTGCCATCCGTCGCCCCCGCTCGTTCGCGCCCTTCGTGGCCCCATACGCATGCCCTTCGTGGCTCCGCTGCCGCCCTTCGTGGCCCCCTTCTTGTCCTTCGTGGTCCCGCTGTCCCTCTCGCTTTCGCTCGTCGTCGTCGTCGCCGCCGTCGTCGTCGTCGTCGTCGTCGTGGTCGGTCTCCTGTCCGTCCCTCTTGGGGTCGGGTTGCTGTCGATCAGCGCTGCCGCTGGCAAGGCCGACGGTCCGTGGCCGCCCCGTCGCTTGCCGGGCCCCGGCTTGCAGGGGAGAAGGATATCCCCCCAAGAGGGACACGATCCAAGTCGAAGAGGGCGGCTATCGAGGGTATGGAAATACGCGCTGAATTACACTCGATCAGATAAGAGCGAACAGTCTTAAAATGAGTGTTGCTAGTGTTGTTGCTGTTGGTGTTGGTGTTGTTGTTGCCGCTGTAGTTGTTGGTGTTGATGCTGTTGTTGTTGTTGTTGTTGTTGCTGCTGCTGCTGTGGTTGTTGTTGTCGTTGTTGTTGATGATGTTGTTGTTGTTGTTGTTGTTGTTGTTGTTGTTGTTATTGTTCTTGTTCTTGTTCTTGTTGTTGTTGTTGTTGTTGTTGGTGGTGGTGGTGGTGGTGTTGATGGTGGTGGTGGTGGTGGTGGTGATGTTGCCGTTGGTGGTGGTGGTGGTGGTGGTGGTGGTGGTGGTGTTGTTGGTGTTGGTGATGATGTTGATGTTGGTGTTGTTGTGTTAAATGTCGTTGGTGTTGGTGCCATCTCTGGCCTCCGCGGGCCCTCGCCGGCCCCCTGGGGCCGGGGCTGAGCAGCCGTCTCCGGGAGGGGGTCCAGGCCGACGGGGGGCCACCCCCGTGGGAAGACCACGGCGAAGGAGGTCCCGGGAGGCCCTTCGAGGCTCCACCCTTCCAGCTGCCGGCCGCCCAGCTGCGCAGGAGGCCCGGCGGGTCGTCGCCGTCGTCGTCGTCGTCGCCGTCGCCGTCGCCGTGGCGGTCGTCGTCGCTGCCGTGGTCCCGTTGATCTTCGAGGCTCGATCTTCGATCCTCGAGGAGGTCCCGGCGTCAGAGGTCGTGGGAGGAGGAGGTCCCCTCTCTAGTCGGGGGCGGCAAAGAGGGGGGTGATGACTAGGGGGAAATATCATGGCGGGGGCTATGATATTTCCCCAGGTTTCATGGCGCCTCTTCTTATTTCATTACGTCCCTGGCCCCCCCGCTGGGCCGCGCACGTGCCGCCGGTCATGATTTGCACCCCCCTCCTTTGACGCCCCCCTCTTTGCCGCTCCCGATCTAGGTGCAACGCGGCCTTCTACTTGACCTCGATGCGGCAGAACGTACGCCCTTCCGAGTGCCACGACCACTACTGCGACGCCAACAGGGTCTGCGGAGAGGCCAGGAGGATCGGGGGCAGGAGGAGGAGATGGAGGGAGCACGATTACATGGCTCCAGGATCGGCGCTTCCACCCACTATTGGAACCACGCCAGGGTTCCATGATATTGGGAGGAGCACAGTGTGGAATATGAGAAGGTTGCGATTTGGAGTACCAGGAGGAGGAGGTCAGGGATGAGGAACATCACGAATCGGAGCGCAAGGTGGGGCAGGTGCAAGAGTACGTGCAGGAGCTGGAGCAGGAGCAGGGCCTCTGGCAGTGCATGGTGGTGTGTGTTCTCCTCTCATTCCTGCTCCCCTTCCTCCTCCTCTGTTCCGCTCCCCTCTCCTCCCTGCTCCCCTTCCTCCTCCTCTTCCTGCTCTCCTCCTTCCTCCTCTTCCTCCTCTGCTCCTGGTGTGCGTTCTCCCCTCCCTCCTCCTCCTCCTGCTCTCCTCCTCTTCCTCTGTTCCGCTCTCTGCGCCTCGTGGTCTCCCGCCCTGGCGACGACATCAGTCGAGGATGGCTATATTCTCCGACGGACTTCGGCGTCGTAGGTTTGTTTTGCAGCGTGGCCCAGGGTGCAGTGTTTCCCTTGCGAGTCGTTTTCTGACGGCCCCGAGGCCCAGCCAGGGCTGCCAGAGGCCAGAAATGGGAAACCACCGTGCGTCGGGCTTCTTTTCTCGGGGGCAACGATCGGAGGAGACAGGCATAGGGTGGGACGCATCGACCCCCAATCGCCCATTGATCGCTGAAAGGGGCTCAATCGTCCCAACCTGTCATTGAACTTGCGGATGCACTTATCGCCGATCTATCGGCGATGCGTCGCCGATTCCAGGCCGATGCGTCCCCCCCTCCAGGCCAGTCCCCCCTATCGTTGCCCTTCATTTGCGCGATGCGAGAAGACCTGAGGAGGCTGGAACGATAGCGGTCGCGCGCTTTCCCAAGGGACGAGCGTTCCCCGCCTTTGATCGGACGCCTGCTCTGCAGGCCTGTGCAGAGATCGATATCCAGGAGGCCAACCAGTACGCGTGGCACTCCACGCTCCACACCGCGACGGAGCGCTGCCCAGCGAGAGAGGGAGAGGTAGAAGAGAAGCTATATATATAGATGTGTATATATATGTATAGATGTGTATATATATAGAGGGAGAGAGACAGAGAAGTCGCCGACGGAGGGCCGAAGGAGGAGGAGCAGCAGCAGCTAGTCTACTCGTTCTCCGCCTCATATCCCCCTATATGTCCATGGTTCTTCCTCTGCTCCCCCTGCTCCCTCTTGTGATGATCTTGCTCAGCCTCCTCTTCTCGAAAGGTAGTTTTACTTCACCCCCTCTTCCCTCTCGGGCAGTGAACCTCGTACGGTCCGACACCCCTATACGAAGGACGTTTTGTTTCACACTCCCCTCAAGGTACCAGGGCAACTTATGGTTTGTCGGCCGTGCGCTGCTCAAGATGCTTCATCCTGGCCGTCGAAGGGTCTTTCGCTGGAAAGCCTGGAGGCGGTGATCTACGGTAGGGGCGCTGGTTAAGGAATAGTCCCAGGTGGCGCCAGACCCTGGAGGATTCCTTCTCTGATGAGGGCGGCGATGATATCCATGGCCGATCCACGATTGGAGTTCCACTGGCTTCCAGACCCTGGATTCCTCATCTAAGGGTTCCTGATCCAATGCCCACGCCGTCTCAAGGCTGCTCTTGCACCCTTGCCAGAGGCTTGCATCTGTCGCGGCGTCAGCCCGCCTGCGGTTGACGCGTGGCCGGGGGGTCTCTCGCACGCCCTCTCGACGGCCTCGCAGCGTTCTTCCCGCCAGATCTTCCGCTTTGGACGACGATCAATGGAGATGAAGCGTGTTGCCAAATTGTTTCCAGATGTCCAAACAATGTTTCAAACATGTCTTACATACTTTAAGAACATGGTTTAAACATGTGTTGATAGTTTAAGGATGGCATCCACCAGTCCTTCGCCACACCCCATGGACTTAAGTAGGACTGCTGGCAGAGGCGCTTGCGGATTCAGATGGCTGTTGTAGGAGAGGTTGGAATCGTGAATGGCGAAGCCGTTTCTAGAGTTCCGTATTTTGAGCTTGTGTACCAGCGGATATCTCAGGAGTTGTTTGTGAGGGGGTGTTTACGAATAAAGAGCAGTGGTAAGCTTCTCCCCTTAGGGGAAGCATGGGGTTGGAATGCCGAAGTCGTGAAACCGAGAGCGCACACGCGGGCGCTCGGGCCACGAGGACGGCCTCGCGAGTCAGGGACATGCATGCTCATGCACCCGCACATCCGACCACGTTTCTGTCCGACCCGCAGCCCCAGAGAGGTTCCTCCCAGGCCGTTTTTCCTCCCGGGCCCATTTCTTGATAGTCCTGCGGTCCGACACGACAGCGGCCCCCGAGGGGCGCCAGTAAGCAAACGCGATACGACCCGCAGCCCCAGAGTCTCCTCCCAGGCATTTTTTCCTCCTGGGCCTATTCTTGATAGTCCTGGGTTCCGACACGACAGCGGCCCCCGAGGGGCGCCAGTAAGTAAACGCGATACGACAGAACAACATGCAGCCCGCCAGAGGTCTGGGTCAAGCGGCCGGGCGCGTACGTCCCGCGTGGCCCCCTCCCACCCTGAAGGAGCGATGTCCAAAGTCCGCGTTCCCTACGGGGT